GCGCAGGAGTATCACCAAACATTGGTTATACGGTAGGTTTGCGTCGTGGCGACCAGCGGCGACCCCAGCGCGGGCGTTCAAGGTTGAACGCCGCCGGCGACCCAGAATCGATCGATGTTGAACGATCGGACGTTGCGGCAGCGGCCGATCGTTCAAGGTTGAACGATCCCTGCGGTGTCAAAAACCAACGCTGGGGTCGGCACGACACGAACCTGCCGTACTATGCTTGTGACCAGAAATTATGGGACAGCTGGGAAGACGCCTTCCTCCACCACATGCAGTGATTGGGCTCCGGCCCACCCGCGCTGCTCCTGGGGGGCTCGCCGGCCGTCCGGCGGACTCAGCGCGCTCTTCTCTCTTCTCTTCCAAGGGTGGGGGTACCCCAGGGTGTGTGTCTCAGTGGGCCCTGGAAACGACAGGGCCGTTTTTTTGTTACCGGTTCCGTTTTGCCCTTTTTTGCCGGTTCCGACGCCGTCTTTTTACCGGTTCTGTCGCCGTTTTTTGACCGATTCCGGCTCCAGTTCCGATCCTGGAGCCGTTTTTTGCCGTTTTTGGTCGCCGTTTTTTTGCCGTTTCCATTTTCAATGGACATTTTCTGGAAACGGTGGAAAAAACGGCCCTGCCGTTTCCGGGGCCCACAAAGGTGTGTGTGTGTGTGTTGTGTGTTGTGTGTTGTGTGTTGTGTGTATTGTGTGTGTTGTGTGTGTGTTGTGTGTGTGTGTTGTGTGTGTTGTGTGTTGTGTGTGTTGTGTGTGTTGTGTGTGTGCGTGTGTGCGTGTGTGCGTGTGTGCGTGTGTGCGTGTGTGCGTGTGTGCGTGTGTGCGTGTGTGTGTGTGTGTGTGTGCGTGTGGTGTGTGTGTGTTGTGTGGTGTGCGTGTGTGTGCGTGTGAGTTCGATAGTTCCTTGCACCGAACCGCCCAAAACAGATGCCCCCCCAGCCGCCGGCAGCTCCCGATGGTTGGGGGCATGCGGGGGGCAGCTGTTTGTGGCAGTTCGGTGCACCAGCGGATCGAGCTCGTGCCCCCCCTTCAGGATCACCCACCCTTTTGGTGGATCCCGAAAATCACCACCTACCAGACCACCCCAACCCAACCCGAAGGCCTCAATTTGCCCTCCATTTCCAGTGGGGGGGGGTCGGGGAACGTTGAAATTAGCCTGACGAAAGACCCAACCATACGTAGTTGTGAATACCGCAATTTTGGATATATTCCTCGGTGGCGCTCCCTATGGGGCCACGAACCGCATGAAGGGCGTGCCGAAATGTGTGGCGGGGGCACACAACGCGAAGGAAAATTATATTTCTGATTCCGAGAGACTGAACGCGGATGAGTCTGAGCGCGAGTGCGTCTGGGGACGCTGGGGCCTTCGGTGGAGCTCTCTATGGGGCCACGAAACGAGTGAGGGGTGTGCCGAAACAGGGGGTTGGAACCGCATGCGAGCGCAGCCACTGGGGCGTTCGGTGGAGCTCCCTATGGGGCCACGAAACGTGTGAGGGGTGTGCGAGAATGGGGGGTGGAACCGCATGTGAGCGCAGCCACTGGGGCGTTGGGTGGAGCTCCCTGTGGAGCCACGAAACGTTTGAGTGGTGTGCCAGAATGAGGGGTGGAACCGCATGCGAGCGCAGCCACTGGGGCCTTCGGTGGAGCTCCCTATGGGGCCACGAAGCGTGTGAGGGGTGTGCGTGTGAGGGGTGTGCCAGAATTGGGGGTGGAACCGCATGCGAGCGCAGCCACTGGGGCCTTCGGTGAACCTCCCTACGGAGCCACGAAACGTGTGAGGGGTGTGCCGAAATGGGGGGTGGAACCGCATGCGAGCGCAGCCGCTGGGGCGTTCGGTGGAGCTCCCTGTGGGGCCACGAAACGTGTGAGGGGTGTGCCGAAAAGAGGGGTGGAACCGCATGCGAGCGCAGACGCTGGGGCCTTCGGTGGAGCTCTCTATGGGGCCACGAAACGAGTGAGGGGTGTGCCGAAATGGGGGGGTGGAACCGCATGCGAGCGCAGCCACTGGGGCGTTCGGTGGAGCTCCCTATGGGGCCACGAAACGTGTGAGGGGTGTGCCGAAAAGGGGGGTGGAACCGCATGCGAGCGCAGCCACTGGGGCCTTCGGTGGAGCTCCCTATGGAGCCACGAAACGTGTGAGGGGTGTGCCGAAATGTGGGGTGGAACCGCATGCGAGCGCAGCCACTGGGGCGTTCGGTGGAGCTCCCTGTGGGGCCACGAAACGTGTGAGGGGTGTGCCGAAAAGGGGGGTGGAACCGCATGCGAGCGCAGACGCTGGGGCCTTCGGTGGAGCCCTCCCTCTATGGGGCCACGAAACGTGTGAGGGGTGTGCCGAAATGGGGGGGGTGGGGGTGGAACCGCATGCGAGCGCAGCCACTGGGGCGTTCGGTGGAGCTCCCTATGGGGCCACGAAACGAGTGAGGGGTGTGCGAGAATGGGGGTTGGAACCGCATGCGAGCGCAGCCACTGGGGCCTTCGGTGGAGCTCCCTATGGGGCGTGCCGAAACGGGGGGTGGAACCGCGTGCGAGCGCAGCCACTGGGGCGTTCGATGCGTGTGAGGGGTGTGCCGGAAAGGGGGGTGGAACCGCATGCGAGCGCAGCCACTGGGGCCTTCGGTGGAGCTCCCTTTGGGACCACGAAACGTGTGAGGGGTGTGCCGAAATGGGTGCAGGGGACGCATGCTGATGATGATGATGATGATGATGATGATGATGATGATGATGATGATGATGATGATGATGATGATGATGATGATGAATGGTGATGGTGATGGTGATGGTGATGGTGATGGTGATGGTGATGGTGATGGTGAATGGTGATGGTGATGGTTGAGGTGATGGTGATGGTGATGATGCGGAGGACGATGATGATTATGATGATGATGCTTATGATGATGATGATGATGATGATGATGTTGTTGATGATGATGATGTTGGTGATGATGATGCTGATGATGATGATGCTGATGATGATGCTGATGGTGATGATGATGATGATGACGATGATGATGATGATGATGATGATGATGATGATGATGATGAGAAGGATGACAATGATGATGATGATGATGGTGGCGATAATGGCGATGATGATGGCGATGACGATGGCGATGACGATGATGACGATGATGACGACGACGATGATGACGATTACGATGACGACGATGATGGCGATGATGATGACGATGATGATGATGACGGGAGGAGGGAGGAGGGGGGAGGAGGAGGAGAGGAGAGGAGAGGAGGACGCGGGGCACCGTCTCTTCAAAACGAGAACCCAACACCACAGGATGGTTGGAAATTAGCCTGGCGAAGGACCCAACCATATGCAGTTGTGAATGCCGCAATTGTGCTGGGTGGTGGCGGACGCATGCGGGCGGTGCCACTGGGACCTTCGGTGGAGCTCCCTATGGGGCCACGAAACGCTGTACTGGGTGGGTGAGACGCGGTCAGCAAGGGCTGTGCTGCGTGGTGGCGGACGCATGCGAGCGGTGCCACTGGGACCTTCGGTGGAGCTCCCTATGGGGCCACGAAACGCTGTACTGGGTGGGTGAAACGCAGGCAGGGAGCAAGGGCTGTGCAGGGTGGTGGCGGACGCATGCGGGCGGTGCCGCTGGGACCTTTGGTGGAGCTCCCTATAGGGCTACGAAGCGCTGTTCTGGGTGGGTGAAGCGCAGGGAACAAGGGCTGTGCTGGGTGGTGGCGGACGCAAGCGGGCAGTGCCACTGGGACCTTTGGTGGAGCCCCCTATGGGGCCACGAAACGTGCGAGGGGTGTGCCAGAATGGGGTGTGGAACCGCATGCCAGCGCAGCCACTGGGGCCTTCGGTGGAGCTCCCTATGGAGCCACGACGCGTGTGAGGGGTGTGCCGAAGTGGGGGGTGGAACCGCATGCGAGCGCAGCCACTGCGGCGTTCGGTGGAGCTCCCTATGGGGCCACGAGGCGGGTGAAGGGCGTGCCGAAACAGGGGGTGGAACCGCATGCGAGCGCAGCCACTGGGGCCTTCGGTGGAGCTCGCTATGGGGCCACGGACCGTGTGAGGGGTGTGCCGAAATGGGGGGGGACCACATGCGAGCGCAGCCACTGGGGCGTTCGGTGGAGCTCCCTATGGAGCCACCCACGAAGCGTGTGAGGGGTGTGCCGAAATGGGGGTGGAACCGCATGCGAGCGCAGCCACTGGAGCGTTCGGTGGAGCTCCCTATGGGGCCACGAAACGTGTGAGGGGTGTGCCAGCATGGGGGGGGTGGAACCGCATGCGAGCGCAGCCACTGGGGCCTTCGGTGGAGCTCCCTATGGGGCCACGAAACGTGTGAGGGGTGTGCCACAATGGGGGGTGGAGCCGCATGCGAGCGCAGCCACTGGGGCCTTCGGTGGAGCTCCCTATGACGAAATGTGTGAGGGGTAAGCCAGAATTGAGGGTGGAACCGCATGCGAGCGCAGCCACTGGGGCCTTCGGTGGAGCTCCCTATGGAGCCACGAAGCGTGTGAGGGGTGTGCCGGCATGCGAAGAGCTCCCTATGGGGCCACGAAACGTGTGAGGGGTGTGCCAGAATGGGGGTGGAACCGCATGCGGGCGCAGCCACTGGGGCCTTCGGTGGAGCTCCCTATGGGGCCACGAACGTGTGAGGGGTGTGCCAGAATGGGGGGTGGAACCGCATGCGGGCGCAGCCACTGGGGCCTTCGGTGGAGCTCCCTATGGGGCCACGAAGCGTGTGAGGGGTATACCACTGGGGCCTTCGGTGGAGCTCCCTATGGAGCCACGGAGCGTGTGAGGGGTGTGCCGAAATGGGGGGTGGAACCGCATGCGAGCGCAGCCACTGGGGCCTTCGGTGGAGCTCCCTATGGGGCCACGAAACGTGTCAGGGGTGTGCCAGAATGGGGGGTGGAACCGCATGCGAGCGCAGCCACTGGGGCCTTCGGTGGAGCTCCTTATGGGGCCACGAAACGTGTGAGGGGTGTGCCAGAATGGGTGTGGGAGGGGGAGGAGGGGGGAGGAGGGAG